CTTTAGCGGGAACATAAGATGAGAACATCCACTTATTGGCACACACATGGCGGGTAGCACCGGAATCCATCCACCATTCCTTGGGATTTCCAACCAAGTTAACTTCAGAGATCATGGCACACAAATCAATATCTTCCACTCCGGAAGCAATCTCCATGATGTTAACATTGTTTTTCTTCTTGTTCTTTGAACCACGACAATCCACAGCTCGGTGACCAAGCTTACCGCAGTTGTGGCAAGAACCCTTAAATTTCTTAACAAATTTATTCGGGTTATTCTTTTGGTTAGAAAAATTCTTTCTTTTCTTACCAACAGATGAAGCATGTTCAATGACATTTGCTCCTAAGACCGAGCTTGTCCCGCGAGCTTTCATTTCGGTCATCTTGTTGTCCTCTTCAATTCTGAGACGGACAATCAAGTCTTCAAGCGACATCTCTTTTCGCTTGTGTTTCAAGTAGTTCTTGAAGTCCTTCTATGAGGGTGGTAACTTCTCGATGAAGGCAGCTACTTGAAAAGCTTCATTGATCATCATACCTTCAGCAAGAAGATTCTGAACAATGACTTGCAATTCTTGAACTTGGGTTGAGACAAGTTTATTGTCAACCATCTTGAATTCAAGAAACTTGACGGCTATGAACTTCTTCATACCGGCATCTTCAGTTTTGTACTTCTTCTCGAGAGCCTCCCATAACTCTCGTGAAGTAGCAACTGTACAAAAGACATTATATAATGAGTCATCTAAACCACTCAAAATATAGTTCTTACACAGGAAGTCTGAGTGCTTCCAAGCCTCAATCACCACGAAGCGTTCCTTTTCCGGTACAGACTCTGCCGGTTTAGGAGCATCTTCCTTGATGTATCTTTGCAATGACAATGTTGTCAAATAAAAGAACATCTTTGCCTGCCACCTCTTGAAATCAACACCGAAAAACTTGGCCGGTTTTTCCGCAGGGGCTGGTGCAGGGGGAGTCACTGTGGGTACAACCACAGGCATAGCAGCAACATTTTCAGCCATTTTCTGAAAATCAGAATACCACTTTTTAGTATTACAACTAAAAATATCAGAATTTTAAAACCTTACGGTAATAATTTCTGAACTCGATTATTTAACCACGCGGTTAATAATCTCAAAACCTCAATGAGGAAACCATAAAACTATTTAAGTGTTATTTAGATCGTTTCCAGGTAAGAGGGAGCCAACTCTACATGTAGAGCGCATAATTATCCAACCTCTTTCCTTGGCAAAACTTTCTCACCGTCAACACTTAAATATTTTATCGGTTTTTTTTTTCCGAAATTGAAAAACTTTACTTTGTCTCCCCGGGGACGAAAGTTCGTTTTTCCACCAATAACAAGACAATATATAATAACACAATACACAATAATTTCCTTAAGCTTGTTGGGTGTGTTATTTTATATGTCTCATATTCATGCTTTATTAACTTCCAATTCCATACCAAGAAATTCGAGCTTAATAACTTTCAAAATATATATCCACATCATGCATATCATACATCATTAAAAAGATAATTTCGGTATCTATGAAAGACGTCAAGAACATGCAATTCCGATAACGGTATAGAAAGTTATGTTCAAACCAACATCATTATATCAATATGATTTTAAAACCGGAAAACCAAATCCGAACCCAGGCGAACCGTGTCTCCTTAAGGAAATTATTCCCCGCGCGGTACCTACGGTTAAATGGAATATATCCTCCCAGGATAGGACGGACGTACCTCACCGGAACAGTGGTACTTCAAACTCCGGTGCCTTGTCGAACTCAAAGAACGGTTTGAATCACAAAGAGAAAATATGTGTTTTCTTTTGTTTAGAAAACTCTTGTTTGTTTTTCTTGGTGTTCTTGTTGTTGTGAAAAATGAAAACAAAGTCTCCTATTTATAGGATTTGAAACTTGTAAAACTTCCAAAAAACCATAAATACAATTTTTTAAGTTTTTTTAAAACCATAAATATGGAGAATTATAACATACAAAAATATCTCATTTCATTTAATTAAAAAAAACTCCAACAATGTATATATATGGACTGTCGTTCATTCAATCAGAATATAAAACATATGAATATTAAAGTAATACAAAACTTGTTAAACATTATAATTAAATGTAATTCGGTGCCACGAACTCGTTCCGAGTGAAGTATCCGACTTCACCAAATCGGGGTTTAAATCTCGAGAAGTTAATTATTCAATGCATATATTATTGTTATTAATTATATATATAATGTTTTGGGTCAACCCTCATCACGTGGGTTCATGATAATTAGCTTCAGTCCTTGCGCGCTCGAAACAACTTGCGTTATATAAATATATCCATTCGCAAATACATATATCTGTGCATGCTTACACGTATGTATGTATGTATGTATGTATGTATATCTATGATGCATTTATAGAGTATGAATCTCGACAGGGTATGTCTGTAGCGGCAGAGAATCTAAATTTCCGGTGAGTCCGAAATTGGATTATTGTATTGCATTAACATGTTATAGTAAATCTCTGGCGTCTCTTCTTCTTTTAATAACAATACTACATATAAGCTAATAAAATAACGAAACCCATCGTTATATATCTATGTATTACTATACACTATACATGTAAACACTGATTTATCTACTCTGATCTTAAACGAACACAACAACGTGGCACAACTTGAAATTATTTCTATCTCTTCCATTATTTTTCTATCATTGGATAACTAAAGATAAGATATACAATATATATATATATGTATATATAGAGGACGTAGCATACAGCAATCAAACTCTTTCTCTTTCTAACCGGAATGAAGAAACTAGAGATTAAAAAAGTGAATAATAATTACGCTGATAGGTTCTGATATCGATCTTTAACCTATCTACCTAATTTATTGAAATCGCATTTTACATAGTGAATTTTAAAAAAATTTGTGGGTTGTGGTGATATTATCCCACTAAATTTGAAATATTAATTTACTAGGAGCGTGCATATTGCAATCAAAACCTATAGGCCCATATATCTCCCACTAAATTTGAAAATCAAAAAGGGAAAAAGAAAAAGATCCAAGACGAGGAAATATATGAGGTTTTGAGAGAGGCCGACCTCATGCCAAAAGCTTTTTCGAGTTTCACGTGCCACAATAATATAATGATATAAAAATGTATATGCGTGCTCGACTTTATATATGGTGGCGGCCCAAATAAGTAAAGCGTTTCTCACTAAAACCCAAGTGACTAGCTAGTTCTTGTAGTAAATCACGTTGATTAGGGTTTTGATTTCGCTTCACTTAATAAAATTTCTTATAATATGTTAATCAAACATCCACAAGTCAAATGAACTATATACCCATGAAGTATATATGTCTCCTATAATAATGGCTTCGGATTTCTCAATTATTAAAAAGAAATTTTAATTAAAAACAGTGTATTCATTCCATGCATATGCATATATATGTAATGTATATACGCACATGACCTTGATTGTAAATGAGAAATAAAAGAAAACATTTGTTAATTGGTGAGGGACAAAACTTAATGCGTTGCAGCTGCAAACTTGAACTTTCAAAAGGGTGATAATGTGCATACGTGGTTTGCATGCGTAGTGGGATTTGATATATTGGTAATTAGTAATTACTCGTTTTCAGCTGAAAATACAATCAATTATAAATGTCCCGAGACGTCGTCTGTGCTTGCCAAACCTATACTATAGTCTATAAGTGGCCCCAACTATGTGTATACACTTATTGAGGTTGGTTTAGGTAAATTAAGCAAATAAAACTATATTATAAGTTTTGTAATCTCATGTTGGATGTTACGTTTCATGAGACACTGACGTAAACAAATCATATATCGTGTGTTTTTTGGTATCTCTAACACAACAAAATCATTGTACCATTAGATATATATAAAAACACGAACGTGTCGTGAAATACCAAAAACAACCCAAAGTGTTGGTCGTTCCTACTGATTTGCCACTCTCACGAGTTTTGTCGATTTCCTCCCGACCCCGACACCATTAGAGATAACGTTTTTTTATAAAAAAAATAAAATAAAATAAAATAAAATTCGGGCGATACTTAATTATGCAAATCCACGAATCTAATGAGCCCCTCAAGGTTACATCACGTACATGTGTGTGTTTTGGCTGGTGGCTAAAACCGCGTCTTTTTACAGCCATTGACCGCCCCACACGTGGCTAATACCGACAACAACTGGACCGGACATAAGTAGCCTTTCGCTCCGGTCCGATCGTATCAAACCGGTTTTCTTTTTTCGGAAGGGAAAAAAAATCTGAATTAATATTTACAAGGGGCATTAAGCAATTTGCAATCAGTGGATTGTCGTACGACAGTGTATAATACGGATTAAGACAGATTTATTCAAAAAAAAATCCAATTTAATTTGTTTCAGTCAGATTATGACGTTAGGATGGGTATATTAAAAACCCCGCTTTAATATATAAATAAGAATTAAATCTCTGTTTTAGTGGCGGAGTTAGGATTCCTACTTGAGGAAGTCTTTTGTTTGGGAAATGCTAAAAACGGAAGCTGAATAAGCATTCTCTGTCTAATAGCAACGGTTAGTAAAGGGAATTAAACAACGTTTAGAGAAAAAGAAGAGTTTGGAAAATGAATCTCAGTTCTATTTTCGGCCATAAAAGACTGGTTTAATGAATTGTTAATCCCAACAATAGTAATCAAGGTGAAAACGCGTTCCTCGACCCAACGACTTTATTTAAAATAAGTCCACTTCTTTTGTCTCTTGTTGTTACTAAAAAAACCCACTGTTCTCTCACACTCTCTTTGTGCCCTTGGCTTTCCCTCTTTTTTTTTTTTGTTTCGCCATCATCGGTATCCCTTTCTCCTATGATTTAATTTAATGTGGAAACATATATTGTATCTCCCCCCCAAGCCCTTGTACTAATCAATCGATTAAGTTTGAAATGACCCGTGTTTAAACTATTGATTTTCCTTGGGTCCAATTATAAATACACGCACACCGCGCTCTGCAACCCAACAAGCCCACCAACATTCATCCTCTCTCTCTCTCCCTCTCCCTCTCCCTCGGACAAAAATGCTCAGACAATCACTCCCTCTCCTCCTGCCCTTCTTCCTGGGTTTTCTGGCTCTCCTCAATGTAAGCGGAATTTGCAGCTGATAAGAGATTCGATTTCGTTAGTTCCATTACTGATTCAGCTTAGGGTGAATCGGATCTGTTTTACCTGGACATCTATGGGTTTCTGAGATTTGGCGATTTTGTTTTTGGGCCATTGCAGGTGAACCTCGCCCTCGGACGATTGATCGGCGGCGGATTCTCGGCGGAGGAGAACCCTTTCACGCCCAAGGCGTCTCTGGTGCGTTACTGGAACAAGGAGATCCGAAGCGAATCTCCCAGATCGGAGTTTCTCCTCTCCAAGGCGTCGCCTCTCAGCGCCGTCGACTCCGCCAGTTTCGCCAAACTCGCCGCTGTCGACTCTCTCCCGACTCGCCTGCCTGAGTTCTGCTCTGCCGCCAACCTCTTCTGCTTCCCGGATTTGGGTGCGAGCCTTGAGAAGCACACCGACGACGTCAAATTCTCCGTCTACGACCAGAAGAACTTCACCAACTACGGCACAACCCGTGCCGGAGGCGTCGACTCGTTCAAAAACTACTCGCAGGACAGCAACGTCGTCGCCGACTCGTTCCGGCGTTACAGCCGTGACTCGGCCGGTCACGACGACAAGTTCTCCAACTACGCGACCTCAAGCAATGTCGTGGAGGAGAGCTTCAACTCATACGGCGGCTCCACCGCCGGAGGCAGCGGCACATTCACCAATTACCACAATGATGTCAACAACCCGACAAGCACCTTCACCTCATACTCCGACAGCGCCATCCGGACTCAGACCTTCAAGACCTATTCCCGCGACGCCAATGCAGGGTCCGGTCAATCCTTCACCAGTTACGGCAAACACGGGACCGGAGACGTGGACGATTTCTCCTCCTATGCCGTGAACTCCAACGTTGTCGGGTCGGGTTTCGCGAACTACGGCACTCACGGACACGTAGCGAACGAGTCCTTCACCAACTACGGAATCGACAGCAATGTGCCGCAGAACAACTTCAGGAGCTACGGCAGTGAAGGGAACGCTGCCACCCAGACCTTCTCCAACTACAGAGACAGGTCGAACGTCGGCGACGACAGGTTCAGTTCGTACGCGAAGAACTCCAACGCAGAGAAGGTCAATTTCGTAAATTACGGGCAAACCTTCAATCCAGGGTCCGATACGTTCACCGGCTACGGCAAAGGCGCTAAGGGGCACAAGATCGGTTTCAAGACCTACGGCGTCAACACCACTTTCAAGGATTACGCCAAAAAAGGCGTCGAATTCGCCAAATATAACCAGACCATGCCCCTCTCCGATGGCAAATCCGTGAATAGGTGGATCGAGCCGGGCAAATTTTTCCGAGAGGCGATGCTCAAGGAAGGGAATACGATTCCGATGCCTGACATCAGAGATAAAATGCCCAAGAGGTCGTTTTTGCCCCGGAATATAATCTCGAAACTACCCTTTTCGGCTTCGAAGATTGCCGACATCAAACGGATCTTCGGAGCGGGTGACAACTCAACAATGGAGAGGATAATATCGGATGCCCTCAGCGAGTGCGAGAGATCTCCTAGCGCCGGCGAGACAAAGAGGTGCGTGGGATCAGCGGAGGACATGATCGACTTCGCAACGTCGGTGCTCGGCCGCAGCCTCGAACTCCGGACTACAGAGAACATCGCCGGGTCAAAGCAGAAGGTGATGATCGGGAAGGTCAGAGGCATCAACGGTGGAAAGGTGACGAAGTCGGTGTCATGCCACCAGAGTCTGTACCCGTATCTACTCTACTACTGCCACTCGGTGCCGAAAGTCCGGGTGTACGAATCGGATCTTCTAGACCCGAAAACCAAATCCAAGATCAATCACGGCGTTGCCATCTGTCACATTGACACATCAGCCTGGGGAGCGAGCCACGGAGCGTTCGCGGCGCTGGGGTCGCGCCCTGGTCAGATCGAAGTGTGCCACTGGATATTTGAGAATGACATGACTTGGACCATCGCGGATTAGGACACGACCCGGCGGCTAAGAAAGCTTGACCACGTGGATGGGGGTTTATCTATTGTTTTACGTTAATTGTCGCGTGAATTCAAGGGAGGAATTCTGATATCTATATTTGTGATTTCGGTAACAATAAACTCTTGTTACTGGTGATGTTATGCCTTATTTGTTTCATTAGAGGATGTTTGCGGAAACGATGCATTGATTAAATAATGGTGTGTGTGTGAGAACAAAACAGTGAGAGGAGAGAGACGTTTTCATTAACATGTGAGAAGCAGTGCCCACCAGTTGTGGTGTGGGAGACGATGAGAGTAGAAGATGAGGTGGACTTTATGTGCCACCCAATTTTAATTTTATTAAAATCTATTTATTTATTTATACAAAACAACATTGATAGAATAAAAAAGAAAAAAGAAAAGGGAGAGGGTTCACGAGGGGGCTGTTGGTTGTATGGGACGGGACAATAGCCACTCTGTTAATTTTATGTTAATGAAGGGACAAATGTGGTTGCCATAACATTTTCTTTTGTTTTATATTGTTTTGGTTACATCCACCACCATTTCTTTCTTTCTTTTCATTTTATGAGCTTCGAGTTGTTGCATGTCTGCTTTCCTTTGGAATGAATGGTTTTGTCAGCTTTCGTATAACCGTTGCAAATCCAAAAATTGGTAATTAAAACGATTGGAGCCTTAATTAGCTGTCTCTAACACTGTTTTTTTCTCCAATCCATTGTTTTTGTATACCCTCCCCTCCCACCCTTTCTCTTTAACTTTCTTGTTAGGAGTATTATATTAAACAGTGTGCAAAAACTTTTTGATTATCCAAAGAAAGCTCCTCTTTACGACACACTAAAGAAAATCCAACAAATTAAGCAATGCACACACAATGTCCGGATAGAAGCTGTGGCTGTGAGCTTCAACAGGTGAACGAACGTGTTTATAATGATTGAGGGAATGAGTAGCTTTGCTTATCCATGGGACTGCTCTTATATATTATATATGACTTACGTTTTCATGTTTATTGGTTACGTAATGTAATTTGTAACCGCCCCCTTTCTTCTGTTCTTAAAAAAAAAAAAAAAAAAACGGTGGCATGGCAGTGGCCACCTTTCTTTTAATACAAAGCCGACAGGGTTCACCTAACAAGACATGCATTTCAAACATAGGCATTTTTCGGAACGACTGTTTGAGATCGTCGCTGAAAAGAAACCGATGGAATCCCAAAAACACAATATCTCGACGACACGTGTTTAACAACACTCACAAACCTTCCTCCACGTCTTAATTTTTGTTTGAAAAAAAAAACTAAAAATTCGATAATCCCCACATGTTATGAAATGCACGTTTAACGTTTGGACGAAGGAACTGGTCGGTCGGACAACGGAGCAGCCTGCCGGGGAGCGAAAGAGAGAAACGGAAACATTTTGACTTTTGGATGACCTCTGCTGCACATTTAAAATGTCACGTTTTAAGCACAGAGAGAGAGATGAGCATAGCCATAATATCAATGGCATTCATGGGTCGACTGGGATGTGCGTGTGTATGTATATGTATATGTATATATGTTCCACCATTCAATATGAAGGCCTCTGCCCCATCCCATTTATTTCCCCTCTCGTACGTCACCTAATTCATTCACCCCACGAAGAGATAAAAATCTAGGAATTCTTACGTGCTGTAAAGTTATCAAATCGACTCATATGAATATTATGGACGGATAACATGATTATTTCTCCAGCATCTTGTATCTCAAGAAGATAGAGAGAACCAAATTCATTTAAACACAACAGTAGAGAGAGAGAGAGAGAGAGAGAGAGAAGAGGAGTGAGGGGAGAAGGAGGTGAGAGAGGAGCCACACAATGCATTTAACTCGAGACTGACCCCTCTTCAAGAGGATAACGTGTGGCCTTTCGGACAGTAAATGTGAAACTTCATTGCCTTTGGAGTTTACGTATTATTAGGGTTTTTTCCTTTTTTCTTCCGAGACATGAAATCCAATGCACATGTGATGTAGCTCTGCTGCTGCACCTATCAATTGATTGACCCTTTCATAGTGCTACCAAATGCAACTAGCTACGGCAATCTCATTACCCTCCTCACACTTTCTCTATACAAATCATCCTTTATAAACACTTTTTTTCCCACATTAAAGGTCAGTATATTTAAAAAAAAACAAGCTAGTATTGAGAACGGCGGGACAACACAAGACCTAGTATGAAGTCATGGTCGCTTCCGTATGCAATGCGGTTGCATCCTCTGCAAACACAATGCCATACGGTTTCTTCGTCATGAAATCTGGCTTCGTATTTGCTGGTCGCACATAACAACAACAAAAGCTAAATGATCTCCTTTGTTTTGGTACGTACCAATCAGAGAGCCTTCACGAGATGCAATATTACCGGAAATGGCAACAAGACCCACATTGTTTGAATGTCAAGAACGTATTAGATTTGTCCAAACCGTCAGAACGTTGTGAATCTATCGTTGTGCTCCAAAACTACCCGCTCAACTCCAGTGCTAAGCTTTGTAGGCAGCAATCTCGTGTATTTTTCTTTCACAAAGGCCATAAAACTGAAACTAATAGAGCCTACGCCCTAATCTGCAACCTTTACAGAAACCTTAAAAAGAAACATCAGCCAAAACAGATGAAGGAAGGAAGGATACAGACCCAAGAAAGCATTGTCAAGACATGTACCGAGGAGCATGATTCACCCAAAAACACAAACGAGAGACATAGCTAGGTCACCACCCACACAGGTTGAGTCCTCCAGAAAAGACTGGCTAGTTGAGCCCTCCAAGGTTGCATCTGGGAGACAAATTCCGTCCCCTGAGCTGACCAAGCCCCGGCCCTCGCTGTCCGAGCTGAAAAGGGTGGCCTGCAGGCAGGCGATCTCTCTCTCTATCATACCATGTGACTGGAGGAAACCCCATTGGAAAAGGGTCTTGCCGGATCTGAGGTAGCCTCCAAAAATTTGGCCTCATTCTCCGACACACTAGTATGTTGTTACGCCTTCTATCGTTTTCCCGGTAAGCAGCAAACTTGGCTTTCCAGCTGACCGCATCTTCTTCTTTGTTTACAAGATCCCCATACTCTTCCAAACATTTCTGCTTCCACAGATTATTGTTTGAAGTCACATACCGCATATCTGAACAAACACAAGCCAACCTCGCAACATCGACACCAGGAAGTGACTCTAGTATCTTGATCTTTATATCCGTGGGGAGCCGCATCAAGCAAGGCGGAAGTTCCAAGCCACACATATCGCAAAGACCAATCAACAACGGCATAGCGACACCATCTTTTACCATTCTCCAGAACTCAAACACCTCCCGATACATGCTTGAAGACCCTTCTTTGTCAGACTTCATAGTATCCATGACCAAATCTATGGTCGGGACAAACCTACGGCTATCAAGACACACCCTATGCGAACTTGTCCCACCCAGAGACCCATAAACTACAAGCATGGGGCCTAAGCTCTGAAACTTCAAGCTGACAGTTTCATTCGAATGGTTACGGGTTATAAGCTCAGGCAGAGTATAAATGAGGGATATCGAACTCATCGTCTCCTTGAAAAAAGTAAACTTATCAGCCCAGACACGTGAAGTAGGATCCAAAAGCACAAAGCGAGACTCTAACATGACGGCATGAACAGCCATAACCAAGATCATCGCTTCACTCTTATCAGTACATTCCTCTATTAATACCTTTTTCAAGAAAAACGGCTCGCTTAACCTTTTCGAATCAGCGTAATCCGCACCGTCAAACTCGACATCCATAAGCTCATGTCCCTCCGTACCCGAGATCGCCCCCGTCGACCCTTCGATAGGCTCTTCTACGCCGAAATTCAGATCGGTGTTCGCTTGTTTTTGGATATCAATATTCATATCGGGGTTTTCCGGAACACCACTGAGATCTCCAGATCCAATACCCGTCGAACCACTTCCAATCTCCCGCTTCGTTCCCAAATCTCGAAACAGGGTCTCTTGTTCTTCCAATTTCCCTGCCGAATCTTCGAAACCCCGAACTGGGCTCTGTTGCGCCTCCGTTGACGATGCCAATTCAACATCCTGAGACGATGCGTGAAAAACCGAGGGCTCGAGAGCATAATAGACGAGGTCACCGGATGTCAAGCCAAGGGACCGGAGCGTATCATCCGGCGAAGATGAAACGAGCTCGTCCTTACGATTGAGCGAGATGTGAACGGAGGAGGGAGACGATGCATCGATCCTTCTCCGGAGATCGTGGAGAGAGCACGTCTCGAGAAATTCGCACTTGAGAGTCTCTCTCGTCTCGTGGTTCCTCAGCCGCAGCTTCATACTTTCTCAATTTCATTCACTGCCGATTCCTACCGACAACCACAGGAAATGATAAGCTTGGGCACATATACTCACAAGGTCAAGGCGGTTACCGCCCAACCGATTTGTCTAATTAAATTGGGTTTGTTTACCAAATGGGCCAATAATGGATGATGGACCCTAATTACCAAATGGGCTAATAATGGGCCCATTTAAAACCTTTGGGCATATGTTGGGCAAATCTGAGATTATCCATGGATCAGATCGGGTTCGATCCGACCCGAAACAAAAACCTGGCCTCTCAGAAGTATTGCGCCGAGGCTAAGGGTCGTTTTTCTGAGAGAAACATGGCGGCCAACGGTGCGAGAAGAACCCTACAGCTGTCGTCATCGTCGGCAAAAACCCTTATCGGTCGTTCGTCGGCGGTGAGTTCCGCTTCGAAGTTCGCCGGAGTTTCTGTTTCTGAGTCTTCCTCTGCTTCTTCTCGCTTCTCACTTCGCAGGTTCACTTCCTCCAGGTTAGATTCCTACCTTAGTCCTGCGCAGGGGAATATGCATTTCTTCGTAGGTTTTTTGGTTTGGATGGGGATAGTTTATAGAGCTGTACAGAACCGGATGAATGTTCTTGCACATCGAGTAATAGATCTGCTTCTGCTGCAGAATTGCTTAAATTATGTCTGTTTACTGATTTCGGTAGGTGTAGCTCGTTAATTATGTCTCAATCATGAATGAGTGTAATTATATTGATTTCCGTAGGAATCCCATGTCAATTTTATTTAACCTTCGCTGTTTACGGCTGGGGGCTTCCTCCTAATGCGTAGAACGAGAGAATTGTTAGGAAATAGGAAAATGAGTTTGAATAATGGCTGTCTTAGGGTTCCTGTGGGGTTGGGAGGAGCTTTGTCAATGATGCCGTTGCATAGTGTCACTGCCTCAGCTTTGTTCACTTCGTTGTTATCTCTCAGCAATCAAAACTGGGGTTCTCTGTCCGAAGGTATGCTTCTGTCTTCTTCTTTATACAACTCTCAAATATTTGTTGAAAGAAATCCTGCACGAAAAGGTTGAGTCTTTTGCTACTTAAGTGGGCAACGAGAGCTACTATGTTGTCATCCATGAATCATGTCGCAGTTATATATGAGACCTATATCCAAAAGCTATTTGTTCCTTTTACTTACCGTTCCGTTGTTTAGTAACAGAGAAAACCGTGGAACTTGTTTCCAGTGTCTTGCCGCCGGTCTTGAACACTGTTAAAGAGACACTCTGAGCCATTGCTATCTAATTCCGTGTTTATGTGATCACGAAGTGTCTAACATAGACTCGGGCGTTTGCAGGGTTCGCCACACCACTATAACACGGCCCTGAGAATTCAAGAAATCAAGAAATCAATTTTCATGTCAGCATCACTTTCTAGCCTTCTTTTGTGTTTCTGCCTTTCCAGCTTTGGAAGAAGAGAAGCAAAAGGTGTTTTGCTCTGATTCTGAGGCTCTTTATTTGGACGTTTGGGATAAATTTAATTTGGTGGTAGATTGACCGCTTATTGACGAGAGAAGTTGAGTCTTGTTCCACCTTGCAGCAACACGAAATTGTTCTTACAGGACTAGGATGTCTTGGATTGATTAAATCAAACCCATTATTTCGAGTTTTTTTTTTAAAAAAAGACAATTAAATCAAACCCATGTGTCTACACTACATTATGCGTGCACTCCCTTATTCCCACCAGAAAATTCGGTCAATTACCGGACGATTAAGAACCCCCAAGGGCCTAACTTTGAGGTATGACTGCAATCCGAATCGACATGTTATGACTTCCTCCTATTCGCATTTAATGCTTCCGAATCTCTGATATATATTTAGACAATGGAGGAGACAACAGTATATTATATTCAAAATTATTTATATAGGACCCACCAGAAATTCGACCGTTGCCCACAACGTTCCGAAATGGGCCACGTGTTCTTTTTAAAAAATTCCAATTTCCTTTTTAAAAACTTGCTCTTCTTATCTCTTCATTCTTCTTGCACTGACCGTTGGCTCTCCCGATCCATGAATAATACGCCCCTGCGTCTTCGATCGATTACCCATTCTTGAATCTCTGAATTTCTCGTCTGAATCAGCCTCCTTGATCTCAAATTCGACAAAAATGGCGGCTTTGGCGCCGGGAATTCTGCAGAAGCTTCTAGACGGGATGAAAACAGGGGTCAAACCAACGGGCGAGCACCGGAGCTCTCTGTTGCAGGTCACCGATATCGTCCCAGTGGATCTGGACGAGAAGAATCTCTTGCCCAAACACGGCTTCTTCATCAAAGTCTCTGATTCTTCTCACTCCATCTACGTCACGCTCCCTTCCGACCAAGACGATGTCGTCCTCAGCAACAAGATGCAGCTGGGTCAGTTCATCTACGTCGACAGGCTCGAGCCAGGGTCCCCTGTTCCCGTCGTCAAAGGCGCCAAGCCGATCCCCGGTCGGCACCCGTTGGTCGGAACGCCGGAGCCATTGATGGGTCTGAGGGGAAAGGCCGAGAGATCGGGTCAGGAGCCTGGGTCGAGGCCGAGAAGAGGGTCGTGGGGCCAAAACAGCGACATTTCGTCACCGCTGGTTCTGAAACCAGTGCCGTTGGATTTCGACCAATGCACACCGGCGAAGCAGAGGCCTGCTGCGGCCAGATTCGCGGCGTCTCCGATGTCGAGGGGGAAATCAGGCGGAGGAGTGAGGAGCTCTTTCGGAGGAGGGATTTTGGCGAAAATGGCGGATCTGAAAGGGGAGAGCCCAGCGGTGCTGAGGAAGAGCTGCGTGGTTCCTCCGGCTTCGAAGTTTCCAAGGAGCAGAAGTGTTTGTGATAGAGAGGCGAAGATCTCCTCCGTGTCTTCATATGTTCTTAGTCCCATCAAATCCTCTGTAGGTACATTTGTTCATCTTTGTTGTTCATCGTAATAAGGAACATACATGGTTGAGGAATGAATGGTCGAATCCAGCCTCCATCAGCTGTACGCAACACGTCGTTATTTTGATATATGAACGCAAATGTCTGCTGAAGGCAGGAAGAGACCTTTATCACCACCCAGTATTCGTCCTTTAGAATTGCATTTCGTTCAGACAAGAGTGGCATTTCAGATCCGCTGTTCCGTGACTTGGCTGAACGGTAGGATTTCCTCTTTGGACAGGAAAAGAAAAGCACAACATCTCCACCCAGTTTGCGCAGTGGAAGAGCAGCAGCTTCTGTGGAAGCCCATGGAGATGGAGAGAGGTCCATTTCAAGGAGACAGGAATCTCATCACCATAAGCTGGAAAGACCCGAGAAGAACAGCAGCTTTCTCCCTTCAAATCTCCCCGGAAGACTTAGCACACTGAGCAAGGTAAATTCAACAGCTTCTGATATGCAGTAGTTGCAGTTGCAGGGTGTGTGCATCAAAATTTCAAAGTCGAAGACTGTTCCTGTCTAATTGGTATGAGTTCTTCTTTGCTACAGGAAGCCATACAACATCGAGAGACAGCTCAGAAGATAGCCCTTCAGGCACTGAGAGAGCCTCCAGCCACTGAAACCATTGTCCGACATCTCAAGTATGGATTCGCATATCTTTGTTCTTGCTGTATGATCTGTTTGTTGAGTTGAAAAATGATCTGTTCATATGTTTTTTCTTGAACAGGACATTTGCCAAGCTAACCAAGTCAGCAAAAGCCGAAACCCCTGCTTCATGCTTTGAGCAGTTCTTGGAGTTTCATCACCAGATAGCTCAAGCCGTGAGCGAAATGGCGTCCACTGAAGCAGCCATTTTAGCAACTGGCAACAAATCACAAAACAAAAACCCTAAATCTGAAAATCAGAAGCAAAGGGAAGAAGATGGGTCGTATTCAATCCTTCACGAAATTGCTCACAACACGATTGATCAAGAGAAAACCTCTGAGTTAGGCTCATCGAAGAGGCGGCTTGCTCTGAAGCAGAAGAGTTCAGGAAAAGTACTGAAAGCAGACGACGAGAACAAGAATCCGACTTCTAGTGGGTTAAGTAACACGATAAGATTGGCAAAGGAGATCGAGAGCGAAGCTGCAAACTGGTTCATGGAGTTCCTCGAAAAGGCTCTGGAAAAGGGCATGAAGAAATCTAAAGGAGCTGCAGATGCAGATATCAAGAAAGTTTCGCAGTCTCTGATTCTGAAAGTTATAAACTGGGTGGAGGCAGAACAGTCAGACAGCACGAGACGTCCGATCCATCCAAAAGCATCGCAAATAGCTAGAAAGCTTAGAATCAAAATGAAGAATCCTTAATTCTGATTCTTTCTGTGTGTTCTTAGGTTCCACTATTACAGAACTCACGCACGCCGTTGTACTCATCATGTAAAAGGGTATTCATTAGACAAGGTTTAGTGAAAATACGTGGATTCATATACTATTGAAGCTGAGTTTAAACTTTTTACACAGGTTTGCAGAATGTAAATACAGTTACGTGAATCAGATGACCCAGAACCAAGAGAAGACCGACCCAGCAGCCAAGCCGATAACCAAGAACAGCACGATGACGATACCTGCAGTCTCCGAGTGTTGCAGCTGAACGGATTTTGGAGCCAGAATCATCAGAACACTCGTTAAGTAGCCATTAGTGAGTCCCAACAGACATGTAAGCAGAGTTACTGGAATCTCTGTCCTGAGAAACGGCGGTCCATGCAAGCAACCCCAGAAGAGAGGGTAAAACAACAGCCTTGCAATACAACCTCCAACAGCAATTTTCTCGTCCTTGAGCGTAATGACAGCAGTCAAAGACTTACCCACCAAGTCAAACACGTTGTAGGCCGTAATGAGCAGAACAGGGTACCAGTCTTTGAGAGATTCAGAATGAACATCCTCGGTGATGAAGCCGGGAAATATCGAGAGGGTCACAATGTATATGAGAACAATCCCTAAACCGAAAGATTTGACTCTCACCACAATGTCCCAGAGGGTTTTTCTCCATAGCGATCCAGTTAAAGCACCATTGGCCAGTTTCTCCTCGTTTAAAGCCTCGGTCTTGAGCTCATCATAATACTTAATGACCGGAAGTCTATGAGCTACGTTGTAGAATACAAAACAGATGACCATTACAACAATTCCCACGGCAAAGTAAAGATTCGCGCTTTTACGCAGCCCGTCAGGATCTTGAAGATATACAGCTTTACTTAAGACTCTCAGAAATGAAACAAGAACTCCTGCAGCAAAAAGTTGCGATATTCTTCATTCTTCATTCATTTGATCCCGTGAAGATTAAAAGGATAAGGCTTTGTTTTGGCAAGTGCCCAAACGATGGGAAACAGACATCTAACAAAAAACTAGAAGCTTGGGGACAGAAAAGTGCGATTCTTAATTTTTGAGACGAGGCAGGGGAACTTTACCGGAGCCAGCGGTTCCGGCAACGACAGCCTGCATGTACCTCTCCGGCAACTGACCGGCAACGCCGATGAGACCGCCCTGCATAAGCGCGTCGGCGACACCGGAGAGCGCGACGGCGACGGCCGTGACGTCGAATCCGGTGTAGAGCCCAACCCGGCCCTTGATGTAGGCCAGGTCCATGACGGGGACCACGAGCAAGGCCAGGACAAAGAGAAAGAGGCCGAGGTTGATGCGGATGCAGGCGTTGTACTTATGGGCATAGAAGAGGATGATCACAAGGAGGAAGACGAGGCCGACGAGCATGTAGACGACGGCGAAGATCCGGTCGACGGAGACGGCGGGGTAGAGGTAAGAGAAGTAATCGACGGCGGTGATGAAGGCGTTCCATGGGAGAAGGAAACCGACGCCCAACGTGAAGTAGATGATGTAGGCGAAGTGGAAGGAATCGGAGGGGATTTTGCAGGTCGAGCCCTCGTGAGGGAGGAGGAGGAGGGAGGATTCGGGTCCGGATCCGGGTTCCGGGTCAGACATTGCGTCGGCGGGTTTTACGGTGAGACCCATTCGGTTCAGAGCGATCCAATAATGGGTGGTTCGTAGGTAACCGCGTCAGGAGATATTTAGGGAAAAAATCCTCAAAATTCTTTAGGTGTAATATAAATTCCTTAGGCGTCGTTTCGGGTACGTCAAGCAAAAAGAGAATCAACTTCTTGTATTTGTTTTATGCGGTTAGTGCTTACTATTGATTGTGGTAGGATGGGTATCTCTCTTTGGTTATTTACGATCGAATTAAACCGAATCGAAAAATGCAGTATTTTTTCGATCTGAATCGTTCTAAATTTCCGAACAATATTATTTTTAAAATTTTGAATTTTTCGAAATCGAAATCAAACCGAATAGAATTTTAAAAATCTCGAAAAATCAAAATTTTTTAAAGAAAATCTATCTTTTTTAAAAAAAAATCACAGAACCGAACTGAACATAATATAAAAAGTGATTGAAATATATTTTTATAAAACCGGAAAAACTGAACCGATATATTTTCGTCTCGAACCTGATCTGATTCTCGAAACGCTCATCCCTAGAGTGTAGTAGAAGTGCTTGTATTTAATATTTATTCACTATTGTCGAGGAGTGCGGTTGACGATCTCCTATGCAAACCAAGACGCTCTGGTCGGCAACGGGAAAACATAGTCTGTTCAATTGGGAAACATGTTTGATGCTCCTATATTTGTTCTTTCTTGTGTTCTTCTGTGTATCTTTCAAGATGATCGGCTCGAAAACTCGAGTGAGCAAGAAAGGAGCACGGTCTGAGAAATATTGGAGTCGTAACGGAAAATAGAAGCAAGGCAAGGGGGTGATCGAGGGAAACCGACGACAAGAAGAGAGAGAGACCGGAACACAGGTCAGAAGTTATGTCTCTGATTCGCCTCTTTCTTGTTTGGTTTGTGTATGCAGGTCCAAATGGGGTGGAGTTGCAATGGAAGGTTGATCTTCGGGTAGAGGTCATGTTGGTCAGTACGAGCAAGGTTATTCACGGTGATAGAGAAAAGTTTGTCCGATCATCATCGTGGGATAAGGCTCGATTGGTTGTTACTAAGCCAGTAGTTATCTCTGGTTTAAGGTGGTTGTTCTCGGTGATCAGATTATCAATCGAAGAGGTAAGGTTTGGTCGGTGTTGACCAAGCGAAGGACGTGGTTCTCGACCTCTAAAATTCTTGGTTTAGAATTTTGTCTTCGGATTGATTATTTGGTTGTTTTGTGATGCAAGTTTCTGTTTGGAAATTGTGGCAGCTGCATTTCTGATTTGAAGTTGCAGGTTGTTTGATTTGCCTTCAGGAGGAAAGAGTTATCCTCTAGGTGGAGTCGGACAGATATTCGAGGTGGCAGTGGTCAATCATAAGGTTGATCAGTCACTAGAGGTTGGTCTCCGAGTATGGGAGATTGGTTTGCGAGCTTATCGACTCGCATGGGATAGCCCAACGTGGGTTATCAAATCTTCTCAGCGGTATCGTGAGGAGGACGGTGTCACCTTTGTTTCCGGGTCACGAGCAAGGTGGAGCCGGTGGTAGCCGACGTAACAGATCTCTTTACGGAGTCTATTTTCGGATCCGGTGAGTCCAAAGATACTTTGGACTTGCTAAGGATTGTTAATGATTTGTTAGGGGATGTCGGACGGTGATATACACTCAGGATTCACTTTTTTCGAAGATTGTTGAGTATGTGGTAGGAAAGTATATCCTCTACTTCTCTTGGCGGGTTCAGTGTAAGGGTTTGTTTAAAAGACCCATCTCCATTCTTCGACGGTATTGCGACGTTTTCTGTTTGGAGGTGGAAGAAAGAGAGAAAGGGAAAG